TTCTCTCAGCTTGACGTTTCCAAGGTTCCTATGCTCCAGGGCCTACCCCCTCCACAGCAGGAACAACTTATCACTGGGGTCGTTCATACCCTCACTACATACCGCGATGAGCTTCATCAATCCTGCCGACCGGATGATCCTCCCGGCCATTCAACTGCGTCTTCTTCGGCCCCTCCTGATCACTTTCCTACCAATGACCCCATCAGCGATGGCACTGGACTTCCGCTTCCTTTACCCGATTCACGTTCTATGTCATTGAACTCTACATCAACGGAATCTCAAAATACCTTGGAGCCTCCCTTTCCTTCGGATCGTCATCGCGATTGACATCAGCCTGATCATTTCGCTGGCTGAATATGCCTACATCGTTTCCCTGTACCCAGGACCATCTTCGCATTGCCATGAAAAGGTCCTCACCTCTCCCTCGCTTGGACGTCCATTTGCCTTTTTCATTCTTTGTTGATGCTTCAGATTCTACTTTTAACCGTTCTTTCCCGCAGCTGTTGGCTCCGACCTTTTCTTCTGCCGCACTCACTGACGCTTTCCTTAACCAGCCGAATGATTTCGTCCCCGGGTCTTCGTGTACCTGAACCTTTGACACAAACGATTCCTACATCTCGTACTTCTTGGCGAGAAGTTCGTCAACCCTATGAAACGTTGGACTCGGTGCCCGACCTCTCTACCGTCCGCTTCGAACTGGATGTCAGTTTGCTTGTCTACCAACCCCTGAACTACATCACTGTGACCTTAGACTGGCGACAGATTGACACCAAGGAATACACTGTTGACGATCTCAAGGATGTGATCTACTCCCCAACATCGTACGGCCTTCTGGATGGCCCTTCCTTCCACTGGCGATTCAAGAGTATGGGAAATCCCACACACCTGCACCCTTGAAGATCTCGTCCTCTACTTCATCAACTCACGACGGGCACGTCCACAGGGCCTCTCTGCTGAATATCCCCGTGAATCCGTTCCTTTTCCTTACCGACCTCTACATACAGTCGCTCCCCGCCTTCATGACGATGCCATTGGTCAACTCCGACTCCCATTGACTGCCTATCAGACCTACCGTGAGATCCGTCAGTTCACTTAGTCTCACCTCCCTTTCGGCGCGGAGCTTAAAAATCTTGCCTCCCTTCGGGGAGGCGTGTGTGTGTAACCCTTGGAGTCATAGGGATCCTGTTTGGATTTGATGTCGCTTTCGGTTTTCTAGTGCAGGGGGACCAGGCATCTTGCTGCCGACCTGGTCTAACAAAGCTAGGCAGCAAGATGGGATACTGGAGTTGGCCACTCCAGCGTACCTGCATTTTTCCGAATGGCATGAGGCTAAGCCCAGAACCTCACAGGTAGCTACATTTGGCAGTCATGCGCGCACGCCGTCATGTCGCCTTGCTCGTCGCTCTCGCTCTTGAGACTTTGGCCCTTCTTCCTCTTGAAGACCCTTAGGCTCCGAAGGTCCTTACTGGTACTCTTAGGAAATGGAACCCTAGGCCGGCGTGTGGCACCGCATTCACATCAGTACGCATATCCATGAGTGTGTGTGTGTGTAACCCTTGGAATCATAGGGATCCTTTTGGATTTGTTC